TTGAGTTACCATCATCTTCCTTCCCATTTGAAGCGATGCTTTGCCTATTGTGCTATTTTTCCAAAAGACTATGAATTTGACAAGAATGAGCTGGTTCTACTATCGATGGCCGAGGGTTTGATAGAGCAAGCCAATGGAGAAAAGCAGGTGTGGGACCTAGGTCTTGCATATTTTCATGATTTGCTTTCAAGGTCTTTTTTCCAACGGTCAAACAGCAACAAAACACTGTTTGTTATGCACGACCTTATAAATGATCTAGCTCAAAATGTTGCTGGAGAAGTATGCTTTCATTTTGAGGATAACTCTGGAGATAAACTGCCTGCAAGTATTGGAAAGCTTCGTCATTTGTCATTCACTCGCCGCCAATATGACATTTTCAGAAGATTTGAAGTGTTTGATCCAGTGAAGTCTTTACGGACTTTCATAGCATTACCAATTGATACATCATCTTCAAAAGCATGCTGTTACTTGAGCAAAGATGTGTTGCAGGAGTTGGTGGCAGAATTAAGATCCTTAAGGGTGCTATGTTTGAGTGGCTACTGCATCGACAAACTACCATATTCTATTGGTCATTTGGAGCGGTTGAGGTATCTTAATTTGTCTTACACTACAATTAAGCAGTTACCAGAATCTGTGGGTTCCTTGCTCAACTTACAAACATTTTTATTGCGTGGCTGCAAGGAGCTTACTAAATTGCCACAAGGCATTGAAAATCTGATTAACCTTCTTGTTCTTGATCTTACTGATACTGAGAAATTAGTGGAGATGCCACTGCGTATTAGTAATTTGAAAAACCTTCAAATTTTGTCCAAATTCATTGTGGGCAAGGACAATCAGTTTGGCATTAAAGAATTAAAGGACTTGGTGCATCTAACAGGGGAGTTTTGCATTATGGGGTTGGAAAATGTGGTGAATGTTCGAGATGCTAGGCTTGCTAATCTAATGGATAAGCAGTGTCTTGATGCCTTAGATTTGAAATGGAGTGAGTTCCTTGATTACCAAAACGAAGAAGATGAAATGCATGTTCTTGAAATGCTACAACCTAACAAGAATTTGAAAAAACTTAGAATTTCATTTTATGGTGGTAAAAACTTTCCATCTTGGTTAGGTGATCCCTCATTAACTAATGTTGTGGAAGTAAAACTCCATTATTGTAGTAGAAGCACGTCACTTCCATCACTTGGAAAACTGCCATCATTGAGGACGGTGTCCATCCAAGGCATGAACAGAGTCAAAAAGGTGGGTTTTGAGTTCTATGGAGATGATTTTCTGTCTACTAAGTGGTTTCCATCCTTAGAAGT